CTATCTATCTATCTATCTATCTATCTATCTATCTATCTATCTATCTATCTATCTATCTATCTATCTATCTATCCATCCATCCATCCTGTCTGTCTGAAAATCTATCCATCCATCCATCCATCCATCCATCCATCCATCCATCTATCTATCTATCTATCTATCTATCCATCTATCCTATCTATCTATCCATCCGTCCATTTATTTATTTTCAATGCAATTGATTAATTAAATATATATATGTATGTGTATATATGTATGTATGTGTATATATGTATGTATGTATGTGTATATATGTATATATATATATATATATATATTTTTTTTTTTTTTAAATTAAGTCAGGCTCTTAATATGTAGCCATGGCTGGCCTGGAGCTCTTTTAGACCATACTGGCCTAAAAGTCATAGATCTGCCCTTACTATGCCTCTGGAGTGCTGGGAGTAAACGTGTGTGCCTCCTTGCCTGGCTGTTTTCTTAATCTTTTTTTTTTTTTTCAAAAAATTAAAAAAAAAAATTCTTTTGTGTATATGAATGTTTTGCCTGCATGTATATGAATGTGTACCATTTCTGTGCCTGCTGCTGGTGGAGATCACAACAACGTGTGTGATCCTCTGAAACTGGAGTTACAGGAGGCTGTGAACCACCATGTGGATGCTGGGAACCGAATTCAGGTCCTGAGTTCTGCAAGAGCAGCCAGTGCTGTTAATCACAGCCATTTCCCTAGTCCCCTGTTGTTGTATTTTTAAGACAGGGCCTCAAGCTGGATATGTATAAATGACCTTGAACTTCTGACCTGCTTGCCTTCATCTCCCAAGTGCTCTGACGACAGGTGTACACTGCCGTGCCCTGTGTATACGGTACCAGGGATTGAAGCAGGCAAGCATTCTAGCAGCTGAATATAGCCCCATCGCTGCCTCTCTGTTTCCACTGTGCAGTGCAGTTAGACCGCACGCCTTTGAGGTGGGACTTGCATGGCTGCAGTTATGCTGGGAAGCAGCTAGTGACTGATGCTCCAGTGTCTGCTCAGCTGCACCCCCTTGTATAGTCAGATAGTTGTTTTGTTCTTTATTTAAATGTGCCGTGATATACATTGATCTTATTAGAGAAACAGTCCCTGGCCACCGAATACTTAAGCTCATAAGTTCTGCTCTGATGACTAGATGACTAGATTCCTAGAGACTGTATACATGAAAATATTCTACTGAATTGAGAATTTTGTAGAAAAACACAATACTAATCTTGACTTTGAAGTAGATGGAAAATTTAGTCCACATTTTGAATTGAGTAAAGGTGAAACTAATGATGAAACAAACAGAATAAAGTAGGCCCAGAAATTAATTTGTAACCTTTAGTATGACTATGAACGTTTAAGAAAATGATTACTGTGCAGTGGAGGTAAATAATAATTTATATTGCTTGGAAGATTATAGAGGTAAAAATGGAGTATCATTCACTTAACAATCAAATATGAATCCTATAAACATGGTTGAAAGAATAATTTGGGGATTAAAAAATAACAAAGTCAAAACCATCCTCCTTCTTCAGGACATAGACTATGGTAATCACACAAGTAAAGCATGAGTCATTGGAAGTGTCCCTGCCTTTGCAAGTACCATGTGTTGGTTTTTACTGTCCAGCAGAACCAGCCTGCTGAGCATGTGTGGGCATGGTCAGGGATAGAATCACAGTGGTCAGCCTGGTGAGGCCCAACACACTTTTTTTTTTTTTTTTTCTTTTCCAGACAGTTTCTCTGTGTAGCTTTGGGATTTTTCTTTTTGACATCCTTTATTTTCTCCGTATAGGTTTCTTCTATAATGTTAGAAGCTGTAACATACAGAGACTTGAAAACATAAAAGTTACTAACTCTACCTGAATCCCATTTCTTTTGAGTTTTCCTTAAAATTGTCACCGAAGTGGGTTTTTTCCCTAACTAACTAGGGTGCTGCTCTTTCAGAGGGTCCAGCCGAGTTCAGTTCCCACCATGGTAGCTCACAGCTATCTGTAATTCTAGTTCTTGGGGATCCAGTACGTTCTGACCTCCTTGGGCACCAGGCATGCATGTGTGCACAGGCAAAGCAGTCATATATCTAAAGTTAATAAGTCTTAACAAATTAGATTTATTAGTGAGTGTGTGCGTGTTGAACCTGAGCATGGTGGCTCGCAACTGTAATCCTACCACTCAGGAGATTGAAGCAGGGGGATCAAAAGTTCTAGGCCAGCTTGGACAAGAGAGTGAGTTCTAGGCTATCCTGGGCTGCATATAGCAAAGCCCTCATTTAAAAAAGAAAGGAAAAATGTAAAAAAATTTATGAAGTTTTATATGACTACACACAAGTGTGTGTACAGTATACATAATTATATACATCTGAAAAGATTTTAATAGAAAAGTCTTGTTGTTTTCCAGAGTGGGATTGTTTGCTTTTAGTAGTTTAAAGGAACAAATGCATTACATAAACTTATTTAGTGGGTCTTATTCTTTTCTACCAAAGCCATCTTATACACTTAACTTCATTAAAATTAAGCTATAAGGAAAATGCTATGTTTTAATTTTAGTCTCTTTAAAATTTATCATTATGTTGAGGATCTTTTCCTCATGAGCAGGCATAGTAGGTTAAAAGTGGTGTCCTAAGTTATTGGTAGATACCAAAGCTCACAGGTAGGTTAAACCATGGCAGGAAGAATGATAGCATTGCATTGCTAAAAATTAGAGTTTCTGGGGACAAGTGCTCTCCCCAAGCATGAGGACCTGAGTTTGATTACCAGAACCCATGGAAAAGTAAATCGGCATTCTGATCCCTTCTTGCTATCCCATTGCTATGGAAGCCAAGACAGGAGGAATCCTGGGCCTTTCTGGCCAGTCTAGCCTCATTTGTGAGTTCCTGGTTAATAAGAGACCTTTTCTTTTTCTCCCCCCCTTCCTTTGCACTTTAATGTCATTATTATTATTATTTACAATTTATTCACGTTGTATCCTGTCTATGGCCCCTCCCTCATCTCCTCCCAATCCCACCCTCCCTCCTTCTCCCCCTGTGCTCCTCCCTAGTCCACTGATAGGGGAGATCCTCCTCCCCTTCTAAAGAGACCTCTTCTTAGAGGATGTTGTTCTGAGGGTGACACTCAGGATTGTCCTCTGGCCTCCACTCATGCTTGCACCACCCTAACCCATGCAGAACCTAAAGTTGCCTCCTAGAAACTGCTGATTGAAAGCAGGAAGCTGTTGATGTTTCTGTTTCTTTGTGTGGTTGTAGAGTTGAATCTATTATTTTTTACATCAGGTATGAAGTAAGATTCAGTTTTCCTGGGTAAAATTATTTTTCACCTCGTTACTGTGAAAGATATACTGAGGGTAGTGGTAGAAATTAGTATCAGTGAACTTTAAAGAAAGTTTGTCATGATTCACCACCCAGACAATGCTCTGGTCCCCTTCCCCGTCCCCTCTCCTAACTGTTCTTTTTCTCACTCTGTCTTTCATCCTCACCTGTCCCAGTCTCCTTCTTTCCTTTTTTCTCTCCCACCTCCTTTGTCTTTTAGATAGTTCTTCTTGTCTGGCTTTCCTGGAGTTTGTTATAACCCTTGCTGGCCCAAACTCTTGATCCTTTTGCTTTAAGTGTTCCGAGTTACCAGGATCACACGTGTCCACCACCATGCCTGCTATACATGCTGTCCTGTGTACTTCTTCTGTGTTTCCATGTTTTTGTTTTTGTCCATCTCTTTCTCTCTTGTTGAATGTGTATTGGTGTTTCCCTGTTCTTACTGCTGCTTTTGCTTTCAGTTTGCCGTCTTCCTTCAATCCTTAGCTGAGTGAGAGTGTGTGTGTGTCCGCTTGCCTGTTCTTCTGCACTCCAGCATCCTTTTTCTTTGAGTTGTACATAAATGAGAGATGTGTGTTCCTTAGACAGCAGTTCTGTTTTCTGTTCTGAGTACATCTCAAGGGCTTTTATTATATTAGAATTATTGGGTTTTGTTAGATGAATAATAGGTTTAGAGTCATGTGAACCTTCAATATTTTCTTACTGTAAGACAAGAGTATTGGTATTTAAAATGATGTTTCCTTAAGGTTCTTTAGAATTTTCTATGTAGACAGCTAGTGAATTGCATATGCAGAAACAGAATGAATGGGCAATTATATAATGTTCTTAAAATCTTTCTAGTGCAAACTAGTTAGTTCCTCAGTTTGCTTTAATGTAAAATCACATTTTGCCTCTGTTCTTCGGGGGGTTTCCAGGCCTACACTCAGGTTCTGTGAAGAGGTGGGAAGACTCACAGGGCCCAGCATAGCGGCTGATCTTATGTTGTGATTTATCATTATGCAAGAATACAAAGGAAAATAAAATCTGTGGGGCATGAAATGTAAGTTTCTAACAATCCTCTCTAAGTAGGGTTACACAGGGTGTGCTTAATGCAGCGGTAAGTTGTGACAGCATTTGTAGAGTATTGTGAACCAGAGAAGCTCATGAGTGACTTAGGGTTTTATTGAAAGTAGGTACATCGACACCATCTGCCTACTGTGCACCAAATTCTAGACTTCCAGAAGGAAGGAAAACAGGTGCTCAAATGCCATATTGTTTGTAGGTGCCTTTAAAATTCAAGTTTACAAATGCCAGGCCAGGGCTAGCCTAAGGCAGCTCAGTACATCGTCTCCTCTGCACACTGCACTCACTGTAATAGTTAATTTTTTAGCTCCTTGATGCCCAGCATACCAGTCTGTCATTGCTTTATTAGTTTGTATTTTTAAATTGCTGGCTGTGGTAATACTTTATTGGTTCATCCTGAACACTAGGGAATAGACTAAATCTTGTGTATTTTACTTCAAAGTAACGTGGTTTGGTTACAGGATATTTTATATTTTAAATGCAAAATAATTAGATTCTAAACCTTTTTTCTTATTCATTTATTTCAATTTATGTTTCTTAATGCTCTCTTTTGTTTGACTTCTGAGCCACAGTCTGAGCCACTCTTAAACTTCAGGGGCTGCCTCAAAAGGCAGCAGGGAACTGAACCCTGAACTCTCAGATTAAGGCTCAGGAGCCATCCAATCTCCCTCATTTATTTGTTTTATTCACTTTACATCTTTGCAGCCCCTCCCCCCTTCTCTCCCAGTCGTACCCTCTCTCCCTGTGCCTTCAAAAGCTCCTTTTCCCATCTACCCCAGGTCATCAAGTTGCATCAGGACTGAATGTGTCCTCTTCCCCTGTGGCCTGGCAAGGCAGGTCTGCCAGGGGAAAGTGATCTAAAAGCTAGCAAGTGAGTCCATGTCTAATGCAGTCCCCACTTCCCTTTCTAGAGAACCCTCTTGAAGCCTATGCTGCCCATCTGCTACATCTTTGTAGGGAGCATAGGCCCAGTTTGTGCATGGTCATTGGCTGATGCTTCAGTTTCAGCAAGCTACTCTGGGCCTTGGTTAGTTGGCTCTGTTGTTTTTTCTTGTGGAGCTCCTATCCCTTCAGGGTCTTTTTTTTCTTTCCTCACACTGTTCCCTAAGACCCCTACCATGGACCAATGTTTGGCTGAGTCTCAGCCTCTGTTTTGAGGCACTGCTGGGTAGAGCGTCTCTGGGGACAGCTCTGACAGGCTCCTGTCTGCAAGCTTAGCAGTGCGTTCTAAATAGTGTCAGGGGTTGGCGCACTCTGGTAGAGTGGGTCTTTGGATTCTAAACGTTTTTACTGCAGTGAGGTTTTGTTTACTTTGAAATGATTTAATTTGTGTAATATACATGCAGTTTCCGTTATGGAGTTTGAGATTGCAATTAATACTTACACCCAGCCCTGTTGGAGTGTGGAGAGGGTAGCGGTGGTGACGCACACCTTCAATCCTGGCACTCAAGAGACAGAGGCAAGTGGGTCTCTTGAGTTCCAGGTCCTCCTGGGCTACAGAGTAAGTTCCAGGACAGTCAAGACTATACAGAGAAACCCTGTCTTGAAAAACCAAAAAAGGAAAAGCCAATAAACAAATAAAAAATTCCCTGTGCCCTTTAAGTTACAATTTTAATCTTATTGATATTTTTTCTCTTATTTGATATGATTTTGCTTAAAACTTTTTTGGTCTTTCGTTTGGTTACTCTACTGTAACCAATTTTGTAACCTATTTTGCTCTTTATTTTTTGTCCTTTTTTGAGTAATTAATTAATTAATTTTGAGACAATAACTCATCTATCCCAGGTTGGTTAGAACTTAATATGTAGTCAAGAATGACTTTGACTTTACAGATCCTTCTGCTGTACCTTCTGAGGTCAGGTGCTACAGTTTTAGGCTACTGGGCCTGCTTTTATGTAGTGCTGGGAATTGATCCAGGTGCTTCTTGTATTGGAGGCAGGTACTTGTACCAGCTGAACAACATGCTTAGTTCCTAGTGTTGTTTTTTAAGATGCTTACGTGAGCTGATGTTTTGAAAGTACATATCTAGATAGAATTTGTTGAATTACTTAAAGCTGTGGTTCTCAACCTTCTAATGCTGTGACTCTTTAATACATACAGTTCCTCACTTTGTGGTGAGTGTCATGGCTCAGGCCTGTAACCTCAGCACTGCAGTCCCTGGAGGCGGAGTCAGGAGGACCAGCTTGAGTTCAAGGTTATCTTGCCTTGACCATCAAAACAACAAAACTACTAAAGGGGCCTGGAGGCATGGTTAACGGCACTGGTCGCTCTTTCAGAGGACCTGAATCTCATTCCCAGCACCTCATATGGAGGCTCACAACCACCTGTGACTCCAGTTCTAGGGGATCTGATTCTGGCCTTCCAGGGTACCAGGCATGCATGTGGTACATAGACATACATGCAGGTAAAACACCAGTATTCAACACTTCCCCCCACAACAAGAACAAAAAGGATGGAACAGAGCAATGTTTTCTTTTCTGAACTGTTGCTTTATTGTCTTGTTAATATTTAGTATTTTCTTCTAATAAACATTTTCATAGTCTGCTTATTTCTATATTAAGAAAAACAGATAAATACTATTATTGTGTGTGTATGTAAATGATGTGTGTGCTTATGTGTACAAAGAGGTCCTCTAGTTAAATAATCTATGTAGATTAGATTAGATTAGTCATTGTCATGTCTCCCCCATCCCCCAGACAGGGTTTTTGTATAGCTCTGGATGTCCTGGAACTCACTCTGTAGACCAGGCTGGTAGATAGTCTTTAATTCCTGGAATTTCTGGGTTTTTGATCCAGGGTCTGTTGCCTTTGGTCACAGAAACGGTTTAGTATATAACCTTATAATGTCTTCCACTCTCATGTTTCTCTTTTCTCTCTTTACCTCCAACCTGGGCATGATGGGAGCTTAGTGTTTGCGAGAGGATTCTAGTTTTGTCACCTCGTAGGCACCCTGCTGGCTCTTGACTCAGAACTCTGGGTTGTGATGTGATAGTTACAAGTACTGGGGAGGGAAGAAGCGCTGAGGTATTGATGTGCTCTGCACTTTTGACACTGATGTGAACACTGTCAAAACACACACTTCTGACTTCCTGATTTTCAGTCTCCTTGGCATCTGTGTATGATTGTTTAAAACCTCAGCTAAAATAAACTTTACGATATGTCCGTGACAACTACCTGAAGGGTATTGCTTACACTTCTTTCTTAGTTTCTGCTTTTTACAGTTTGAAGATTACACATTCTGAAACTTGCACTCACTCATTACCTGAGTGAGCACTCAGCATGTGCTGTCTGCTTAGCAGTCCTCAGCCTGCTGTCTCTCTGTCTGTATGTAAAGGCAGAGAATGGATGACAGAGAATGAAAGGCATAGTAAAATTGGAATTGAAAACAAATTCTGAATTTTCAGAAGTGTCAGAAGTAAACTTATAATAAAACAGTTCCTAAAAGCATGTGTGTTTTTAAAGTAATTAAAATATGGAGTTTCAAAAAAAATTTTTCCCAACAGGTGGGAAGGAGAAACCAAAAACAAATCTAGAAGACTTACAAATTAAAAAAGTAAAGAAGAAAAAGAAAAAGAAACACAAAGAGAATGAAAAACGGAAGCGCCCAAAAATGTATAGCAAATCTATTCAAACCATCTGTTCAGGATTTCTGTCTGATGCTGAAGATCAAGAAACCAAAGGCATCTTAAGTGATAACATAAAGGATTACATTGGAAAAAATTTGGATACCAAGAACAGTGATTCGAAAATTCCTAATAACAGTGACTTTCCATTTGTGTCATTGAAGGAGCCACGAGTTCAGAATAACCTTAAAAGGTTGGACGCTCTGGAGTTCAAGCAGCTCATTCATGTTGAGCAGCAGCCTAATGGAGGTGCGTCAGTCATCCATGCCTACAGTAGCGAGCTCTCCTGCCTGTCTCCTGTGGAGATGCAGAGATTTGCAGAAGAATTTGTGGGTTTAGTGTTCAGTGAAAATGAAAGCTCTGCAGCTTTCTATGTAATGGGTATTGTTCACGGGGCAGCTACTTATTTACCTGACTTTTTAGACTACTTTTCATATAATTTTCCCAATTCACCAGTGAAAATGGAGATATTGGGAAAGAAAGATATAGAGACAACGACTATGTCCAATTTTCATGCTCAGGTAAGAGGTTTTTAGTTTTGTTTTGTTTTAAAATAGCCTTTAATTGTACATTTTAGATAGACTTGTGTTTTTCGTCTTAATTTCCCTGGAGGTCTGAGGTAAAATGGTAAGCGTCAGTGAAAGTATTTGGGAGGGACTTCTTGATGTGAATTTACAAGTTTAAATTTCAATTTTTTCCTTTAAAGATATTTATTTACTTATTTTAATGTACATTGGCATTTTGCCTACGTGTGTATCTGTGTGAAGGCATTGGAACTGGAGCTGTAGTAAAGCAATGAGCTGCCACCTGGGTCCTGGGAATTGAACCCAGGTCCTCTGAAAGGGCAGCTAGTGTCCTTAGCCGCTGAGCCATCTCTTGAGCCCCCAATTTCTGCTTTTTTATTCTATTTAAAATCAGTTAATAAAGATTAACTGATTCTGCCCCTTTTCCTTTTTTTGTGACAAGGATTTCACTTGAACCAAGGGAAATTAATTTAACCAGTTTCCAGTTTTAAAAATAGTTGCTTTTAAACCTGTAAATCAACAAGGTTGGTTAGCCCATGCTTTTGTTTCTTGCACCTGGGAGGCAGAGAGGCAGGTGGATTGCTGTGAGTTTGAGATCAGCCTAGTCTACAGGACAGCCAGGGCTATGTAGAGAGACCTTTTCTCAACAAAACGGACAAACAAACAAACAAAACCCCTCAAGCCCTAAACCTCTAAACTGCTTATAATTATCTTTGAGTTTCCCTATAAATGCTTAGCACTGGGTCCATCAAGTAAGTAGGTGCTGAACACACGCTGGCTGGTAGAAATATAGTGTAAAGTGATCACCACTTAGTACGTCATTATGTGAAAACATTAGTGCATGTGTTGCTGTGAAGAGTCACCGTCACTAAGGCAACATCTAAAAAGCGCACAGTTTTAGAGGATTCGTCCTTGATCATCAAGATGAGGAGTGTAGTGAAGGGCAGGCTGCAGGCAGGCCTGGTGCTAGAGCAGTAGCTGAGAGTTCACATCTTCTCCACAGGCAGGAGACAGAGAGACAGGGCTTGGCCTGAGCTTTTGAAACCTCCCAGGGACACGCCTTCCTCAGTTCTTCCTAAGCAGCCTACTAACTGGGAAACATTCAGATTAGAGCCTTCAGAGGGAGCCGTTCTCATTTAAACTACCACAACATTTTAAGCTGATTTCCGTTTCCTACTCTTTTTTTTTTTTTAAACATTTTTTAAAAAACAAACAAACAAACATTATTTTAGAGGTCAGAGACAAATTTGAGTTTGTGGCTTTTAAAAAGTTAATGTGGGGTCTATCTAAAAGGCAGTGCCAAGTGAGGGTGTCAGATACCCTGGAACTAGAGTCACAGACGTATGGGTCCTGTGAATTGATTCAATGTCCTCTGGAAGAGCAGACAGTGCTCTTAACCACTGAGCCATTGCTCCAGACCCCGACTGTAAGTTTTTAAAATTTTTTTCTGGAAGGAAGTAATAACTGATAAAACATTTTAGTTTATGGGGAGGATACGGGAAAGTCTCGCGGAGATCTTAGTGAATATCTCTCCCAGTCTTTCCCTACTGAAAGATTAGCTAATAGCCTAAAGAGAAGTGGTTTATTTTAGGGTTGTCAGCACTCCTAGGAATAGAACAAAATCTAATCCTCATCCCGGGCTTTTCCCCTTGTCCTAGTGTGTTCTTTCAGTTGATATTCAAGATAAGTTTTCTACCTTAAATATATGTTCAACATATATTTTCTACCCCCAGTTCTCAATAGCATGTTTCTATTCAATTCTGCAGTTTACAGTAGCCTGGAAAATATGATTATATATGATTGTATCGTTAAATACTGTCTTTCATGGAGTTTCTTTTCCATTCTTCCACCTATTTTTATTTTACTTGCTTTTTTCCTAACTAGGAATTTCAAGAAATATATATTACAGATCAGACCTTTGATCAACCAAATTTAAATTTGAATTTACTGTATATGTGTGAGGATTATTCCCTAATGCAGCATGTCCGAGAACTGAAATTTAAGTATTTTTAGAATGCCAAGGCAGCAGTAGGACACCCACCACTAGCCGGTGGGAGAGTTGCTGAGTTTAGTGGCTGAGTCAGGGCTGGCCCAGGTTCCGTGCTAAGCAGTTCGTATGCAGTGAGTATGCAGTGAGCATTCTATAGTATGCTTTTATTCACACTTTAGATTACTTAAATATCGGCGTACTTTAGTGCATTTTTAGCAATGAGGTAAATGACATGTGACTACTCCAAACTTAAGGGGCTTTGAAGAAATACTGAGAAGTGAAACAATGATGGAAGCATGAGGAGAAAGTCTTGAAGTGCTAGATTTTTTTGTTGTCACTATTTGTAAGTGACTTGCTGTCACCATGCTAAATCACAAGTTTTATACTATGCTTAGATTTCAAGTTATTTGCACAGCATCACAGATAGGTTTGTTGTCATACTATGCAAGCATGTTTCAGTAATTTTTAATGTGATAAACATTCATATATAATAATGGCATTTTTACGCTAACTTTAAAAATGAATTTAGGAATTGCAGTTAGCAGTAAGACATTTCATTTTGTGGTGGCTGAGGAGATTGCTCAGTGGGTAAAGTACTTACTGCCAAGCCCGGCTGCCTGAACTCGGGACTCGCAAGTGGAAGGAGAGAGCCAGTGTGCGCCATAGCATGTGTCTCCCCATTAATAAAGAAAGTGTGCCGAGCAATAAAGTTTTCTTTTTTTGTATATTTACAAAATGAAAGCTTTGCTTTAGCCATTAAGTAAAATGTGATACTGGAGTTGTCAGTGGGTCAGTGACCGTCTCAGGTCCTCGCGGAACTGCTTAACTTGGTTCCCACTGTTTTTTTCAGGCTTCTTCAGGTGCATCATAGGGAAACTCTAGGCACACGCTTTTTCTCTATGGCCAGCTGTGGCTCTGATCTGTTGGCTCAAGTTTGTCCTCTACAAGGACTACTTTTGATTTTCAGGAAACTGCCTTTGCCAAATCCGTACTCCTTTATTATAAGATCCTCTTACTTGTTTAGTGTGGAGTAAATTATATAATAAACTGCTCATTGGTATTTTCTACACACTGGATTCTTTTATTTATTTCATTTTATGGAAAGCCTAGGAAAAATCAAAACAAAGAAATTAAATCAAACAAAAAAGCCTAGATGTTTGAGACTTGTCTTCAGGGTAGCTTTGGGCTTGTCCTTACACACTAGGTTAATGAAACTGGACTCTGAAAGATAACACTGTAGAAAAAAGTGACGCACACATACTGAGATCAGTTCTATTTCTAGTCTCTTGTTCTCCCAGTAAGAGCTGTTCTGTTTTTGTTGGTGGTGGTTTGTTTTTGAAATAGGAACTCATGAAGCCCAAGGTGGCCCACATAGTCTCCTATAGCTAAGGTGGAGTTGAATTCCTGATCTTCTTGCCGTACTACCTCCTAACTGCTGGAGTTACACCTGTGTACTCAGAAAAGCATACGTATTAGAGATGAATATTCAGAAAGTGAACAGACCCATTAGGTTCAAAGCTGCAAGTAGCCAGAGGTCTTTCTCAAAACATTCTTTGGCACTGCTCTGCCAACCTCCCTGAACCCCAGCACATAAATATGTACAGTTTTTCGAGACTCATGTAAAACTTAAGTATAAGACTTATCTTATGTATATGTGCATGCTAGAGTGTGTGAATGTGTACTATGTGTGGAAGAGCCAGAGGAAGTTGGGGCTTTGGATCCCTGGAGCTGCAGTTGCACGCCATGGCTATGAGCTGCCGTGTGGGTTCTGGGAACTGAACCCTGGTCCTCTGGAAGAACAGTTAGTGCTCTTAACCATCAAGCCATTTCTCCAGCTCCAACACACAAACACCCAGGTAACCATTATACTGAATTCAAACAATTTTTTTACACATTTTGAACTCATGTTTAATGGTACATGTAAGTTGTTTCATCTTCTCTTACAGTATTGTGTTTGTGACACCCATCTTGTAGATAGCAATGCCCATTTTCTTCTTGTTGGGTATTACTCCATTCTTGGCATGGACCGTGCTTGTCCTGATTACTCTTAGTGGACATTGAGCTGCTTTTCCTGTGGCGTTATTGCAGCAGGGGCTCTGTGAACACTTTTGTTCATGCGCTTACTGCGCACCGGTCTGTGTTAAAGGGCACCTACCATTTGACTATCAGGATAAAAAGGAGCACAGATACTTGGCTTTTGAAAGATGAATGATTGGTTCTTCAAAACTCCTGTTCCAGTTTGTATCGATGTAGGCTGTACTTGTGGTCATACTTAGTATTCTTTTTTTATTTAACCACTGTGGGGACTCAGCAGTAGTATCTCTTTGTTGTTTATTTTTCTGATGACTAAGTGTGTCAGGCTTCTTTAAATATGATTATATATGATTGTATAGTTAAATACTGTCTTTCATAGAGTTTCTTTTCTACTCTTTCATCTATTATTATTTTACTTGCTTTTTTCCTAACTAGTAACTTCAAGAAATATGTATTACAGATCAGAGCTTTTGATCAGCCAAATAATACTTCTCACTCAGTGTCTTATCATTCATAATGGTTTCTGATGACTAAAAGTTAATTTTAATCTAATGTATAACTTTTTCTCAACTATGATTAATGTATTTTGTGTCCTAGTTTAAAAATCTTTGCCTGCCCCAAATATGATGACATATTCTTTGGAGTTTTCTTCTGGAAACTTGTTTTTTCTTGTATGTTTGCATCTAAGATTCATCTCAGATTGGTTGTATAGCAGGAGATAAAGAGCAGGGTTCCCCCAGGTGTGGTGGAGCATGCTTGAGATCTGACCCTCAGGAGGCTGAGGCAGGAAGATCATGGGTGTTGAGATTAGCAGGTGCTGCATAGTGAAACCCTGTCCTTAAAAAAGAAATCAAAACTCAAGCAGGGTTGATAGTTTTAAAAAACAGCAAGCATCCAGGAGCTTTAGCATGAGGTGAAGAGATGCCCGCTCCCCAGCACTGCAGTTTTACCTGGTGTGCAAGTTAGCCAATCA